GCGGACCGTTCACACGTCACGGGTGTAGCCCTCTCTCTACTCCGACGTTGATTTTTTTCCCCGCATGTTTCGAAATGTCTCGAGCGGGCGTCGTGTGTGCGCACCGCCCTGTTAGAGGACGACGCGCGCACGTGATGACGAAAATTGCAAATTGAAATGAAAAATCGCGCGGCTACGAAGCTGCAGTGTGGTAGTGTGCGACTTCCTAATCTCCCTCGTGCCGTGGAGCAGTGCGTGCGCGTGATGGTCCCGCAGCCGCCGCCGTGGCGCCGGCTCTCTCGATTGACGTGTCGGATATATTCCGCTGAAAAACGGACGTCTATGGCCCGGGCCAGGGCGTGACGCCCCCTTCGAGGAGATTGAAAAGGCGGCCGTAATGTCCTCGCGGCCCTACAGCGGGCTGCGCAAAGCGAAGCTCTGCAAGCCGAATAAATAAAAGGCTCCAAATCAGTCCCAATCCTTGTAATGGCCCCATACGCGCGCGCACACACACACACACGCTCACACGAATTGCAGGCAAAAGACGGACGGAGGAATAAGTTTCTCTCTCAAATATTAAGAGGGACGGGCCAGGAGCAGCGCCTCTCTAAAGTCTTATGGCCCATTCTGGCCCGGGCCTGCTCGCGGCCCGCCAGGCCCGCCCGCCAGACGTCCCGCACACGCGTTGTGCCAATCGCCGCAACGACGGCCGACGGCGGCTCTGTTGTGCTTGGGGTCCGTTTCTATTACTTGACTTTTAGGGGGCGGGGGGAGAGTACTAATATTTTGAGGTCCTAAAAGTATCAGGACCACCACCATCAAAGTATGAGGACCACCACCACCACCACCAACTAGTTGTCCTCGTGGTTCAAATACTATGAGGTCCTATGACTCAAAGATGGACCTGAGAAAGACCCCTTTATATTGGTATCCTTTATCTAAAAGAAATATGTTATATGCAAACGACCGCTAATAACAGTAATCCTGACGAATGAAATATTGATAACTATTACCCTCACGATACCAAAGTCCGCTCCGCTGAGGCATAGGCACAGGCGAGGCCTGCTGCGGTGCGCCCCAGGGAGGTGGGCAACGCGAGCGCTGCGCTGGTCGGCCGCGGCCTACCTCCCAGGCGCCCGGGCCGAGCACTAGCAGCGCGGCTGCTGCTGGAGGGGCGTGAGGGGCGTTTCAACCAGTGGACACTCTGTTGTATTGATCAAATATTTAGCTGCACCAGGTTTTGGATCTCTTGAATCTGTTTTGCATATTTTTAGCAGATGATACCTTACAACCTTACACCTAAATATATCTAAACATAATTTCAATAGCCTTTGAATCGCTTATGAATCTCTTTTCTCTTTTGAATCTCTCTTGAATCTCTCTTGAATCTCTCTTGAATCTCTCTTGAATATCTCTTGAATCTCTCTTGAATCTCTCTTGAATCTCTCTTGAATCAATCTCTCTTGAATATCTCTTGAATCTCTCTTGAATCTCTCTTGAATCTCTCTTGAATCTCTCTTGAATCTCTCTTGAATCTCTCTTGAATCTCTTTCGAATCTCTTTCGAATCTCGTACGGATCTCTGATGGCTCCCATGAGATTGAAATAGATTGGAAACAGATTTACAACAGATTCTAAACAGATTCAGAAAAGTACTTCTTTTAATCCCTTTTTGAATCCCTTTTTAAAATAACCCTTTTTTGAATCAGTTTTTGAACCCCCTTTGATTCACTTTTTAATCGCTTTTGAATTTCTCTTGAATCTGTTTTGCACCTCTTAAGGACCTCTTATTAGATTTAAAAGGGATTAAATACGGCTTGAAAATTAAGTTTGTGTTTGGCTTTAAAATGTCGATTTGGAGCCAAATACAAGCTTCGGATCAATTTTGTTTTTTTCAAAACAAACAAAAATAACGACAGTTGAAAAATGACTTCGACTGTATTTTATCTAGGGAATGTGGCGCGAAGGTACAAATCGGGCTCGCGCTCTCTTCTTTAAGGCGGTCTCCAGCGACCGATAAGCCCCGGCCGGCGATGATATTCCTCTCGGCTCCAGCACGCCCCGCTGACTCATAAACACAGGTGACAGCGGCGCTAAGTGTGTGGGGCGGGGCGGGGCGGCCGGGGGGCGAGGCGCGAAAACTCCCTAATTATGTCGCATTTGCCTAAAAATTGGGGTGGCGGATGGAGGCGGTAAAATTAAATGAGGTGCGTGAGGAAGAGGGTGGGACTGGAGGCCGAGGGGAAAGAGAGAGAGGGATATAGGGCAAAAAAAGCAAAAAAAGAAAGAAAGAAAAAAAAGCAAAACACTTGGGCCCGCCTGTTCAGTCGCACAGCAATGGGGGCCCCCTCTGGGGCGGTGGACCCGGCCGGGGCCGGGGAAGTCGCGGGACTTCATCCACAATGAAATCATTTATGATGAAGATGGTGATGGTGACGATGACGCAGATGATCGCGGAGAGCGCGAGGGGAAGGAGGGGGCCCTGTGGTGGTGGCGCCTGTGTAGGACGGCACAATGACGCGCGGTCTAAAAAGCAGAAAGATATGACACTGTTACCGAACGCTGCCTGCTTATCTCTTGTAGTCTCGTTCTGATTCGGGCATACTATTGCATTACGTTTGCGATCGTTGCGATCGACGCTTTTCCGTCCCTTTCGGGGCGTGCGGCTCGCTGGGTACACAACCTGCGAACGGCACGACACGAAGCTCCGCACGAATTATGCGAGCCATATGAATTTTTCATTGGCCTCGCAGCAAAAAGCGATTGAATCTCATCATCACGCGAAATTGTCGTTTTCATCACCTCTCACCTCTCCCCATCACGCGTATGCGTGTGTGTGCGGGGGGAAAAGGGGGGGGGGGGAGCTGTGCCGGCCAGGCTGGCCTGGCCTCCTGGGAAGCAAATTAGCATAGCTGGATGGGGTAACTCGAGATGGCTGGAGGGGTGCGCTGGCTGCCGGGCGCGGCGTGTCGCGGGGGGCGCGGCGGGGCGCGGCGGGGCGCGGCGGGGCGCGGCGGGGCGCGGCGGAGGCGCCAACATGTTGGCAGTTTCATTTCGAGGGCGCCATACGCGCCCGCGCCACTGTGTGACCGTGATGCTGGGGTGGATTGAAAAGAGTTTCCCGCGGCTCAGCGGCGCTTCAATACCGGATCACAGGTCCGGAAAGTTTCCTTCCTTCCAGCAGCAGCCCCTCGCCGATCTTGTCCACGATCGCCGTGGCCGCCGTGGCCCAGCGCCAGGCAACTCATTCCTATGCGGCCAGCGCCCTGAAAAGAGACGAAAGCGGGCGGCCCAGCGAACAAAATAGGAAGAGGAACGGCTGCCCCGGACGAGTGAAAGGGGCAGAGGGGGAGGCGTCGGCCGGGCACTGGACGCGTCTGACGCCTGACACCTTCCAATTAAAGGCTTAAAAATGGTTCCGGATGCAAAAGTGATATTTTATTCATCTCGACGCGTGGAGGGAGGGTCATTCATCATATTAGCTCGCCGCCCCGTCGCCGGGTGTGTTGGCCCG